CAATGGTAAACTGATTTTTGAGCCAGTTTTTTCCAGTTTTGATCCAGTAATTTCAATTATTTTGATTGAAAACTTTCGAAGAAAACGTTTACAATTTTTAACAATTATTAATTTTTTATTACAGGTTTCATGATTTTCCATTTGAAATCTTCGAATTACTTTTAGAAAAAAAAAAAGAAGGAAAAGAAAAACAATTTAAAATTATTGCATATTAACTAAAATTGTGGCAATGTAATCTGAAAGAGATAACGGTAGCTTGCACCAAAATGGATTATACTGATAGATTAACATGTCTTAGTCGATTCATGATGACTATATGGGAAACATTAACCATAGCAGCCGTGCAAGGTAAGTCTACAAACAAATATTTGTCAAACAGTAATGATACAGTGAATTAATAATTTATGTATGCATTATATCTATGCTTAAGGTAAGCAACATTTTAAATAAATAAAGCATTAGATTATATATATACATTCACTTTAATAAACCTATATATAGATCAATATATAAATTTTCTAATTTATAATGATAAACAAATGATTACCATCTTATCATTGATATAAATGTAATTTTATTTGTTTAATTTTTTAACTGTTTGCTTATTAATTACTTGGTATGTTTTAAGAGACTTTTTCTAATGCGAACTTTAATTTTTACATTTATTAAACATTATATTATGTTGACCTTTTACGAGTCATTAAGAAATAAGGAATTATACAATTTTTATCACGCACATGTTAGAAACGATAAAGTAACTAACTATTCCCACAGGCACGTTATTTTCTAACGCATTTTCTGTAAGATGTATTGTACTGTATTTATATACATATTCGAATAAATTCTAAGAATTATAAGAGATTAGATTAAACATTAACTGAAATAATAAAATTGCCTAACTAGAACGTTAAGACAATCATAAAACTCGAAAATTTATCGTTTGTGTGTCTGTCTGCGTGTATTTTTATGCTAAAAATTAAATAACATTATTATATCATAGATTTAAATATATTTCATTTGTAAAACTTATTAAATTCTTCGTGTTTTATCAGAAAAAAATTCAAGTAAATTAGGCTACTTTATTTGGTCTAGCCTGTGTTTAGCTTATCTAAACACATGCTAGACCAAAAAGTTAGTAACCATTGTCTAGACTAAATTTCTTATTTAAATATTTAATTACATTTTTAATCATGTTTCTATAAATTTTATAAAAGAAAAGACGTTCTAAATTCAGTTTACGATTCATATTGACAAATATTCTATACCTGAAAGTAAGGTTAAATGATTTTGGGCCACTTTTTAAAAATTTATATATAATGATTAGATTTATAATTATTTTAAGTTTTTAAAATATATAAATTTTGTTTTATCAATTTACGAAAATACATTTTTGAAGCTAAATTAAGTACATTTCAAAGATGGTATTACTTTTTTTATAATGTGATTGTAAAAAAAGCTTTATTTTATTTTATTTTTTGTTTTATTTCTTCCTGTTATACATAAATTTACTAACTTCGTAGAAAGAAATGATGTCGTGCCGACACGCTATTCTCTTCACTTATAAACATGTTTCATCTTTGTATACAGGAAGAGTTTATTCAAACAGATATTTAAAGAGACATGCAAATGAATATAAAAATGAATAATTTTTCTTTTACTCTCCCTCTGATTCTAGTCGATTTTACAGATTTATATCAGAGCTTAACATTGCATCGTATAAATGAACAAAAATACTGTATTTACTGTTTGTTTATTTTTTTCTAGTTACATTAAGATCTCTCAGAATGCAAACCCGATCTACTTATCTTTTTCAGGCCTCAATATATTAAAAAATGTATGGTTAAAACAATGTATTATATATAGTGGTTTTTCTCCACAAAATAACAATGAATTGAAAAGTGTGAGGCCTTAAATTGTAGCTTCGTAACATGAGGCCTGAAACTGCAGCTTGCTTAGTTTATGTATAAATTAGGCGCTGTGTATAAGAAATGCAGTAGAATGAATTATTTATTTTTAAAAAAATGTTTTGAGGGCCTGTAAATGTGAGTCCCATATTCATAGGTCCTTAAACATATTTGACCTCTCACAAGGGTCTAGACTAATAGCCTTTTGCCTGATTTATAGTAAAGCAACTCAATTATTTTAACAAAATAAATCTATTACTTATTTTCTTACCGTAAATCTTTTAAAAATATCGATTTAAAAAAGCATTTCTTAATCTTTCATTAGATTAAAATTTAAACCACGAGTTTAAATATTCAGCAATTAGAGGCGTAGCTAAAACGAATAGCCCAATATTTTACTAATTGTTAAGACACTAAGCGTAATAAATGTGTAGACTCGTAGAGAATGAAGCAGTTAAAATAAAACTTTTATTATAAAAAAACTAAATAAATTTGTTATAACTAAATTGATCAATAAATAAAATCTTACTCAAATTATTATACAGTATATTTTAAAATTATATTTAATTTATAAATTATGATAAAATTCTCGGCTTTTTGAAGAGAGAGAGTATGTAACAAGATGCTGCATACGGATGGTTGAACATTGTAGCTTATGTATTGCTCGCTATCTTTTAGTATGTGGACAATATGTAGGCATTGTATAACCATGTATATACATAGGTAAAGTAAGTAAACGTTAAGTCACTCACAGTTATCTCTAGGGGAGTTTCTTGCTAGGCAACGTGCGAAAAATAACGACATACTGACTATTCAATAACACTGTTGACAGGAGAAGCAAATGAGAACTCATTTGCAACAGAATTCTTCCTTTCTGGTTTTACAAAACGAAGATTTCTGTTTGAATAGAGAAACTATTTGAACGATCGATTGGTTTGCTAGCGTTACTGTCACGAAAGGAATGAGATGCTGTGTATAGGTATGTCCAGTTCTATATATCTATATACATGTTGGTGGATTGTGTTTCTCTGTGTGTAGTAAATTGCAAAAATGTTGTTCTTTTGTGCTTTGAAAGATGAAAAAATATATATAATAATAGTTAAACTTATCGACATTTTCTGTGATGAAATGGAAGGAGGATGCTTTTTCCATTTTTCGCATCTTCTTTGGAATATATGAAAATCCGGTGGATACCTATCCAAATTAAGAATTCCAAAAAATATTTTTTGTGGATATTTTATGAAAAAAATTCAAAAAATCTGATCTGTTGAGACGTGTAACGATTTTAAATAATAAAAGTTTTAAAGTAGGCTTTAAATATGATAAATATGAAACACTTAAAATAAAGAAATGTTAGAAAAACATAGTCTCTAAAACTTTATCTGACATGAAACAGGCGTGGCTGTCGTTCTGATCGACAAAAATGCTGAGAATAATCAATATATTTTTATACAGTGAAGTTCTTATAGATTAGTTAGTGAACATTGTCATGAAATATTTGTTAAACTTCTTTAATAAAAGAATCATTGTATACGTGTATACATGGTTTTAGTTGTAAGAATCTTCTTCAATGATTTATACAGTAAAATTTCATACATTTTATAAAATAAACAATTCTTATCTATAAAATAAGTTTCAAATTTCAATATGAAATTCTTAAATTAGTATATAAACATAATAATATTTGTTAAAAATGGTATCAAATTCACAAATTTGTCAATGTATTTTTCAATAATCCACTGTTAATGTAAGCTCTTATTAAATTTCGATATTAAGTTTGAAAGAGTATTATAAACGTCTATAACATCATAAAAATGAATTAAATTTTATATTTTGTATTATAAAGTAAATTATTTTTTATATTTTAAGAGATATTTCATAAAAATGAAGGAAGAATGAAACATTTTTTATAGTTCTGCATTAGAAAACATTGCAAAACAGCAATAAAAGTAATAATTCAAACTAACTAAAAATAGAAAATAAAATTAAACAAACATGTAGTTTTATATAAATTTATAAATAAAAGTAAATAATAATAACAATCTTCTACGAATTCAATTAAGAAAGAACATAAGCGAATAAAATTCAAACTTTTAATGCTGAAGGAAGTAATTTAAATTTAAAATTCTTAAATATTTTTCAAAACTTTTTAAAAATAAAATAGTAAATAATTTAAATATATAAAAAATTTAATTTAGTAAATAAAAATATTATTTTTTTATGCATGTAAGTACTGTATATAAAAATATTGATATAAAAATTAATTTGGAACGGGATTATATAGTATTAATGAATATTAATGATTGTTCTTGATATCATTTAATTGTTAAGTAATTGTTTTAGGATTGAATAGATTAAATATTTTCCAAATAATTCTCGCCGTACAAGTTGAATCCAGTTATGGAAAGGGATTTATATTATAGCAAGTTAAGAGAAACCAAAGCTCTTCTTTTCGCTCGATCGCTTCCAATAGGTCGGTATGGTGACGGTCACTGTACCTGACTGGTGACCGTTGAGGACACCATCTGTTGCAGGCAGAGGAATATGAGCAGAAATCCCACTCGATTGAATCTCTCATCGACTTTCTCCCTACTTTGATACTGGTAGTCATCAACTCAATACTCTATTCTTTGCTTTCAAAAGCTAAGTTACTTCAATAAAATTTACTTTCTTCGATGAGTATTGCAAGAAAAAGTTCTATAGATTGATCTAAAAATACTCCATTACTAAATATTTCATTACCTAAAATAAAAAAGAAAAATAAAGTATAATGTTTGAACCTTAAATAAACTATTACATGTTCAACTTTAATGCTTCTATTATTAAAGTATTATTATATAAAAGTATAAAAATTAATATAAATAATTTACAGTTATATAATTATAAATTTGTAGTTATAAATTAAAAATTTATAATTTATAACTACAAATCATTTTTTTAAATATTTAGTGGATAAAAATAGGTTCTTAATAAGAAAAACAACTTTATATGCTAAAAGCATCATTGTTAATTTATAAAAATTTATTTAAGTTTGATTAAAATTATTTATAAAATGTAAAACATGCAGTAAACTAAAATATTTGTAAGTCTAGATGACATTTTAAATGATTATTTTATCATAAACGACCATAAAAATTTTATTTCTTTAAGTGTAGACCTATCATGTGTTTATATTAAAAAAATAAGTTTAAAATACTTTTAGTAGTATTATTAATGTATTACATCCATTAATTTGGTGGCTACTTCAAGTAATTATATATAAAAGAAAGAAAGAAAGAAAAAAAAGAAAAAAACAGATTTTCTTATAGCCTAACAGCATCGCCGACTGATAATTTCTGCATTTCAGTTAGATTCAATTTCTAATGCGTAAGCGTCTATCATAAAAGTGCACTCTTCTACTCTTTTCGTCTATATATATTTTTTATTTTTATTTTTCTAATGCAT